GGATCTCTCTCCATTCCCTTCTCCTCCGATCGTAGCCGGTCCCGGCGCTGCAGCCCGTTCCGTACTCTCCAAGCTCCTGCCCCCAAGTCCTCTTGCCAGTCTCTCCACCCCAGCAGTACAACCTGGTATAAAACCCCAGTTCCTCTTCTGCACTGTCTGTTGTGCTCTGTGCTGTGTTTTGTGTTGTGTGAGCTTGTGCTGATCAGGTACGTCCCGGACGCTGAACGCCCTGGGGTCGGGATTCACAGAGCTCTGTGCTGCAGCGGGGATGCTTGAGACCACTGCTAGCTTTGGAAAAAAACCTGGGAAAAGCAAATTCCWAGCCCAGAACTCCCCAGAGATGCCYGTGCTCTGTGCTGGGGTCTGGGGGTGCCCCGTTGTGTCCACTGGGATCTTTTGGGAATGCTGGAGTCGCCCCTGCCTGCGTGGGACCCCGCGTGTCCCCACTGCCCGCTGAGCCCCCCCAGCTCGCATGTCCCCCTGTCCCGCTCTGGCTCTGTGGCTCATGTTTCAGTGCCTTTTTTTGGGGAGCAGGGAGAAGGGGCCTGTGTTTACCAGCAGAGCTGTGTCCTGCCTGCTGCTGTCCCCACTCCGTGCCATCCTCCTCCATCCTTCCCCTTCTCCCACTCCAGGCCGACGAGCTCAGCAGCCCCTTTGGGCAGATCAGCCTCAGCCGACAGGGCTCRACGGAAGCCCCAGATCCTTCTTCGGCGATGTTCCAGTCGTCCCTCATCTCCCAGCACCCTCAGCAGACAGGATTCATCATGGCAACCCCTGGGCAGCCCATTCCCACCTCCAGCTACTCGGCCTCGGGGCACACGGCCCCCACTCAGCAGGTGCTGCAGCCCCAGGGCTACATTCAGCCTCCCCAGCAAGTAAGAACACGAGGGCATGCCCACAGAGTCCACAGGGGCTTCTGGGGAGGGTGTTCCTCTTTTTCTGCTGCTTTTGGTGATGGATCCATCCAAAGGGTCCAAGTTTYGGGTCTCACACTCCCCTTTTAGGCACAGGATGATCCCCATGTCCCCCGAGCCCACGAGGCTTTTACCTGGGACCTTCCTGTCTCTCAGCGGTGGGGAGGGACAATGACTGGACTCAGGGTTGACACCTCTAAGCTCTCTTTGGGGTCCTGCAGGGCTTTATGACCTCTGGGATTGTCCCCTGAGCTGTGCTCTTGCACTACTGTGCTGGGAAAGGCTTGGATGAGGAGGCTGGGAGGCGCGGGAAGGGTTCCCCGAGGAGCCATCAGCTGGCCAGAGCCAAAACCCTGGGTGGTTCCCTTCAGCACAAGCCAGGCCAGGTGAGAGAGAAAACTGGTCCTGGGGGGGACCAGCTTTCTTGGTCCTGCTCCCTCCTGYGTTCTCACCCCTTCATTTTCTTGCCCCTGATAGATTCAGGTTTCTTACTACCCCCCCGGGCAGTACCCGAACTCCAGCCAGCAATACCGACCCCTCAGTCACCCAGTGGCCTACAGCTCCCAGCGCCCACAGCAGCTCCCCCAGCAGTCCCAGCAGCCAGGTAAGGGGGTGCAAAGGGGAAAACGGGGCAGCTTTGCCTTTCCTGATTCTTTTGTTGGCACTGTCTGGGGCCAGGTTGCTCTTCCTCAGCTCTCACTCTTTGCTGGGAATTTGGGAAGCCTCTGTCTGCACAGGCTGTCGAATGCTTCCCCTCCCTCTCCTCTCCTCTCAGCTTGCTGGAGCAGGGATGAGGTGGATTTAAGCYCCACTGAGGGGCTGTCAAGAGGATTTAAAGCCAGGAGCTTCCCTTGGGTGTGCTTAGGAAGCCTTTTTCCCTGCTCTTCAGCAAGATGTGGGGTCAGAGCAGGATCTGAGCCCCTAAATCCCAAATCTGGGGCTGTTTCCTGTGTCCAGCCAGGAAGCTGCTCCATTG